CCCGCACCTTCCCGCACCTTCCCGCACCTTCCCGCACCTTCCCGCACCTTCCCGCACCTTCCCGCACCTTCCCGCACCTTCCCGCACCTTCCCTTCCCGCACCTTCCCTTCCCGCACCTTCCCTTCCCGCACCTTCCCACCTTGCTCTCGTCCAGCTCCGCAGTCCCCACGTCCCCAGCCTGCACGCCCAGCAAGCACAGCAGGACCAGTCCCAGGCTCAGCCCCATCGTCCTCATCTCGCCTCAGCTCCTCTGGCCCCCGCAGTGGGATGGGGAGCGGTGCCGGGGCTGTGAGATTTATAGCTCCGTGCTGCCTCCTCTGCCGCCCTGCTGGAGCCGTGCCGAGCCCCACGGGAGCGCTCTCGGGGCTGGCTTGGGCAGGGGTGGATCCGAAGGGCAGAGTCAGCCCAGAGTGAACAAACTCCTGGGGCAGAGGAGAGCTCGTGCCTGCCAGCCCCAAAACGGGGTTACAGGAACTGTTGCACCATTGCTGAAATTTCGGATTTCCCCCGTTCTTTTGGCTGCTTGCGAAAGAACAAAGGGGACGGTTGTTTTCCAGCGGGCTGCCGGGAGGAGCGGGAGGTTCTTCCCGGCACCGGCCCCGGGGCAGCCCCGTTGCCCGACTCACCAAGGCCCTCGGTGACCGGTGTCACTGGCCCCGGGCAGCTGCTGGCATCCTGCCCAAATCCAGCCCTTGGCTGGCACAGCCTGACCCGCGGTGCCTGCGCCGGCCTCCCCACCTGCGCTGGGCTGCACCCTGAGCAGGCTGGGCAGAAGAACGGCTTCATGTCGCTGTGGGATTGTGTCCCTCCTTCCCAGAGTGTGATGTCCCCTGTGGCCTGGCTCTGCCAGGCTCCTGGGGTCACAGCCCAACACCTGCCTGGGCGCTGAGGGACTCCGGGGCAGGGAGGCAGAGGGGGGACCAGAGGCTGCCTTCACTCTGCAGGAGGTGGAGGGGGATGAACACTGCCCTTGGGGGTTATGGCAGCATGGTCTTGCTTTGGTCAGATGGGGACCAGGGGGGGTGTCAGACAGACATGTGGGTCCCAGTCCTGCCATAGGCAGCCCTGGTGCCACCCCACTCCCAGCTGGGTGGCCCAGGAGAGGACTGAGCAGGGAATGGGGTTTCCTGCAGGCAGCACTGGGCAGCCTGACTGCTTAGCCCTGTCTGCCCAGAGCTACTGAGCACCCAGCTAGTCTGTGCCAGCCCCTGTTCACCCTGGCTCCGTTCTTCCATGCCCTGGCAGCTGCTCCCCTGCACCTTCCCCATCCTCCTCATGCTTGGCACAGCAAACATCACATCCCGGGTGCCCCCTACCACCCGTGAGGGCCTGACAGGAAGGGTCAGCTCCAGGACTGTTTGGCTCAGGGTGCCTGGAGACCCTGGCATCAACCTGCTCCCACCAATAAAGCACCAAGATCTGGAGCAGTTTCTGCATCTATTTATTTAGGAGGTTGAGGATGATCCTGGTATGAAGCAGGGGGTCTGGCAGAGCCTGGAGGATGGGAAGGAGCACCACGGAGTGGGGTGCAGAACCCATTGTTCACTAGGTCTAGAGGAGACATGGTACTTCAGCTGCAGAGACAAGACAGGCAGACAACTGTTCAGAGCAGGGCACAGCCAAGGTGACAGAGTCCCGAGGCACGTGGGGGATCACCCAGGGCCTGCAAGTCCCTGCTCAGCCCAGGCCATGCTGGAAGGGAGTCACAGCTTTCCCTGGCCACACTCACCTGATGTCCCTGGTGCACTGATCTGTTGGAAAGCAAAGAGAGGGGTGAGTGTGCCGTTGGCAATATTCTGAACCCCCACGCAGAGGGGTCACAGCTGCCACCCTGTGCCCTTGGGCCACTCACCTGACTTGGGCAGGATGGCCAGCATGTCCTTAGTCAGGCCCATGGTGGGGATGAGCTCCATGAACTTCTGCAGGAGCTGGGGGCTCAGGTCCTGCTCTCTTGCAGCAGCCACACACCCAAAGCGGGCGCTGATGAGTGCAAGGAATCCCAGCAGCCAGCCCCACACTAGGGGTCCAGGTACTGCGGGGCAGCAGCTGGACCCCAGGGAAGGGCCAAGGAACGAACATGCAGGGTGGATACCAGGCAACCCCCAGCTGCCCTGGGCTGGCAGCAAAGGGGCACAAGCCCCTTGGGATGAGTGACCCATTCACTTGGGGTGGCTGGCAGGGTTGGGTTTCTGCAGCTGGGCTTGCACACTGCAGGGGGCTCTGGTTCAACCCACAACCAACAGGAGATATCTTTAGTGCAAGGCTTCATTCACCCCAAAATTAATTCCCTAGGTGATGGACATGGGGTGCTGCTGATGGCGGGCCTGGGCAGTGGTGGGGAGCCCAGACCCTGCCTGCCTCTGGTGCCCCCATCCCTTCCCAGGAGCCAGGTCCCCACTCCCAACGCACTGAGGAGCTGCAATGCTGTGCTGGGCTCTGCCTCGCCGTGATGGGCCTCGTGCAGGACAGCGTAGTGGCTGCAGTCTGTCTCCATCACATGCAGATCCCTCTTCTCTTGTGCTCCTAAGGACCCCAGAGGTGACCAGTTGGGTAACGTGGTACAGTCTGAGCCCTTCTGGGCCCCTTCTGGGCTGGGGCCCACAGCTCAGTGCTCAAGCCTCAAATTTGCCTGAGGTGGGTATGAGGAAGGAACCCCTGCCCGATGTGGAGGAGCCAGGTGCCCACCCACCTAGAAGAACTTGCTGAGTCGTGGAGGCAGAGGGGGCCAAGCCCACCTCCCACTGCTCCTGAGGCATGGGGGCTGGGATACCCACCCTCTGCTTCAAGGTACCCATGGCTCCAAAGCCCATACCACACATACCTGTGTAGTGTCCTGCCTGCTCGCTCTGCTGGAAGAGAAGCTGAAACTTTTGGCATTTGTGCATCCTGCAAAAGGAACATGAAACAGACAAATGTGTCTAGAGACCACATGGGAGGGCAGTGGGGTGGTGGGCACAGGGGGGAGCCCAGCCTGCCCAGAGGGTTGCACTGAGGCAGGGTTGGACAACCTGGAGCAGTGGGGAAGTTGCTTTGGTGGGGAAGGGAGTCCCTGTACCACGGGGAACAGGGTAAGCAGGACAGACACTTACAAGGGCCAGACCAACTTCATGGCCAGGTCCCCTTCTGGCATGAAGCTGATGATGGCCATGGATGACTTCATCCCATCCCTCATCTTCAGGAAGATGGAGCAGTTGGAAGCAATGGCTGTGACATGCCACACCCCTGCAAACTGCAGAAGGACATCACCAGTGGAATTTGGAAAAGTTGTGGGGACTTGCCAGGGGGATCTGCACTCCTCCGTGGGGGACCTGGCAGCCCACTGCAGAAATTTGACAACCTGCAGTGGACCTGCCACTGTCTCTGGGGACATGTTGCCCTCTTCAGGGACCTGCCACCCTCTGTGGGGATCTGCCCTCCACCATGGGGAACACGACACCCCAGGTAGAAACCTGCCATCCCCTGTGGGGACCAGCCAGGCAGACATGGGGACCTGCCACCTTCCTGCATGCAGAACACCCTGTCCTGCCCCATGCTAAGAGTACATGTGCAGCACCTGGCCCGTGTTCCCTGGGGATAGTGCCACATGCTTGGGGACATCATGGCCCCACGCGTTGGTGTCCTTGCAGTGGGGCTACTGCTGGCACTGGACACAGCAGCCAGGACTAACCTGGTTTTGCACAGGCTCCCCTGGAAGCTGTCCTGGTGTTGGCTCAGGGACTCAGGGGCGCAGCACTGCCCTGCCCCAGCCAGCCCAGGCAGGATGTGCCAGGCAGAAATCTGCGAGGTTACCTTCTCAGTGTCCAAGTCCAGTTGCACAGGGACCTGGGCCCCTGCCTGCAGCAGGTAGAGCAGGGCCAGAGCCAGGCTGGGCAGTGCTGCTGTCACCCTTGCCCTGGAGAGGATGTGGGCAGGAGACGCTGCACCCACCTTTATAGCCCCCGCTGCTGGCAGCACCCCTGCCCACACACCCGCTTTATGCAACAGGTTACATAAGAGCAGGGATAAGCTGTGCCCAGCTTAGGTGACAATGCCCTGTCCCCCGCAGTTCTGGATGAATGCAGCCTTGTGTGAGACCCAACCCAGATCATGCCAGGACCAAGTGCTGCCCCATGCCCGCTCCATGGCTGAGTAGGAGTATGAGGTGCATCCCAGGGGCCCCCTCCTGGCTGTTCCCATTGATTCTAGGGTCTGTCAGTGGTGGGACAGATCCTGCCTCAGGATCCTCAGTGCCACAGAATGGTTGTGCTGTTACCCCAGGCTGAGCCACGGCCTGGTGCCCTCAGAAGGGGTTGCGGATTCTTATGCTGGTGGCAAACAACTCAGACTCCCCTGCTGGAGAGGGTCTGGCTTGATGGGATGGAGTTCCAGGGGTGGCCAGGATCAAGCCACATCCAGAGCTCACAGACATCCTTCTGCTTTGTGCCCATCCTTCCCCAAATTTCTGGAGAACCCCTGATGCCCATCGCCCCATTCCCATGCTGCCAGCCTGCTGTCCAGCAGGGAAATCAAGGCAGGGAAACTGGGGGAGCCCAAGGGGCAGAGGGGGAGCAGATGCCCCTCAGTGAGTCCTGGCCTCAGGGACCCCTTTTTCTGGGATAGGGCAGGTTCAGTGGGCAGGCAGCACCACAGGGCAGAGCTGTGAGTGCACATGGGGTCTCAGCCCAGCAGCTCCACAGCCAGGAGCTGGGGTCAGCCCTGACTGCTAACCCCAGTCCCAACCCTACTGGTCATGCTTTCCCCACCCCATCGCCTTGTTTGGGGCTGCCTCACAACAATCCAGCAGGCAAGGGCTGGTTTTTTATGGGCTTTAATTGAGACAGGGATACAGGTGTAGGTTGTGAAGCCAGGAAGCGAAGACTGCTGCAGTGCTGGGGAGCCACTGGTGGTCTGATGGGACAGGGTGGTCGCCAGTTTGCGGTGCTGCTGGGGCTTGGACTGGTAGCAGCTGGTGGGTCTGCCTGGAAAAGATGGGGGGTGAGCACGGCTGAGCTGTGGGAGACCAGGTAACACAGAGGGGGTACATGGGCCTGGCGAGCCCCACACTGTGTGGGGAGGCACCCCACAGGGCTGGGTGGGGGATCCCCAGTAGTTGTGAGGAGAGGAGCAGCCTCGGGAAGGATTGTAGAGGGGCTGGGGGCTCTGTGGGGTACACGGCTTTAAGCATCCACATACCCTCCGGCAGGGCTGGTCTGAGTCCCAGTGAAGTCAGGACTCACCTAAGCAGCATCTGCCATGCATTTGTCTGCAGGAGGAAGAAACAGGGAGATCAGCTCCTCTGGGGGCTGTGGGACCTTAGCCCCCCTGGGGGATCCTGAATGGGGATACCCCATGGCTGGCCCCATAGAGAGGCAGACACAAGCCAGCAGGGTCTCCTCCTACTCAGTCCCCCTCTGGTATCCTCACCCCCTACTCCCTGACACCATCCCTGTGCTCCCAGCCTCACCTGTCTGGGGCAGGATGAGGATCTCATCATCCGTCAGGCCCTGCTCCCTGGAGAACTGGGTGAACATCTCCAGGTGCTCAGGACTCAGCTCCTTTGTCCGGCCTGCAGTCAAGAGCAGGGTGAGAGGCAGTCCCCCCGTACCCACCAGCACAGAGGTACGGGCAGCCCGGGGATCCCAACCCAGCCACCATCCCCCCAAGGTCACCCCAGTTTGAGAAATTACCCTAACCCTGCCCTTCTCCTATGGAAAAGAGACATCCCAGGGGCATGGACAGCATGGGGGTCCCGGGGCAGACGTACTGTAGAGCAGCACCATGGTGGAGGAACCAGTGCTCTTGAAGATGCGGGTGGCCACCAAGGCGTATTCCTCATAGTTGGTCTCCACCACATGGATGCTGTGCTTGCTGCCCCAGCCTGTAGGGGACATGGGGCACAACTCAGCCTTGAGCTCAAAATCAGCTCCAAGGCAGGAGCAGGCACAGCAGGGCTGTGAGTGTGTCCAGGGCAGCACAGAAGCTGGGCACTCACGTGGGCTGGTGTAGCTGAACCGCCCTGGCTGCTCTGTCTTGGTGTAAAGACTGGTCCTCGTCACGCACTGGTCCCCCCTGGGGAGAACAGCAGCGCGGGATGCACCAGTGGCCACCCCCGGTACCCCCTCCCCGCGCACTCCCTCCCCATGCCCCATACTTGGGGTAAGTAGATGTAACTTCCAGGTTCCCCTCTGCGGTGGTGGAGATGATGGTGGTGCACATCTTCATCAGGTGCCTCTTCTCCTTGAACCAGTTAGAGTTGGAGGCCAGGCCAATGCTGTACCATCTCCCTGTGAGCTGCACACAACCTCCACTCAGCCCCAGCTGGGCACAGACCCTGTCTCACCCCTCAGCCTCCACCAGCCCCAGCCCAGGCCATGTCCCCCCTACAGCAGGACAGCGTCTCAGGGAGCTGCTACAGCTCTTGGCAACCACAAAACCCAGGAACAAGGAAATCCCTGTTTCATTACATGCCCTTCACTGCCCTTGGGTGTTTCCTTCCTCTTCACCCCAAGCCCAGGGAGTGTGACAGGACTGCCTGGCTCTGAGATACCATTTACAGCCATCTGTGGGTGTGAGGAGGGGTCAAGACACTGGGTGCAGCACGGCTCGTTCCATTCCGGTCTAAGGAGCCAGCAGTGTGCTGCCCTGAGGGGAACTGCCAGCCTTGGAGAGCAGCTGTGCTGGGATCACCCTTGCAGCACACCCCAAACCCCTGTCCTTGAAGCAAGTGCCTCCCTCCAGCTCCAGCACCTCTGTCCCCCCCAGCACCTTGCCAGGAGGAGGGATGGAAGGGATACCCCAGCACAGCAGCCCTTGTTTTTTTGTGGCCCTGGGCTGGGGTCTTTGCTGGGGACGGGTTCCCATGGCCCACATCTGTGCTGTCAGACTGAGATTGCCTTTCTCACTCTCCCCTGTAAAATCCCTGAGCATCCACACCCATTCCACAGCACAGCAGCAGCTCGGACCCATGCCTAATCCAGGGTTCTGCCCCACAGGCTGGAGCCTGGATGCTGGATCCCACCAAACCCAGGTGCTGGGAGGTCCCAGGATGAGGGGGCTGCATGTGCACCAGGGCGAGCCTGGCCCCCCATCCACCTGCACCACCCCCTCCCCACATTTTCAGGGCAAGGATCCCCCAAAACACCCCAAACCTCCACAGAGGTGATGCCGGTTGGCCTGGGTCACCTTGTCCTGCTGGAAGTCAGCTTGGACAGGAATGCTGTCCTGGGCGTGCAGTGTGCTGAGCAGGGCCAGCCCCAGGACGCCGAGCAGTGTGGCCTGCATGGCAAAGTGGAGCTGAGCCGAGAGCTGGAGGCAGAGCGCTGCGGTGCTGGAGAGTTTGTCGAGCCCCTATTTATGGTCAGGCATTGCAGGGGCCCCCGGGCAGCCAGCCCTGCCTCCCCCCATGCCGTTATGCAAGCTGGGGCAGGACAGAGCACTGAAGCCAAAGGGCAAGCAGGGGATCCTGTGAATGCTTCCCTCCTGTTGATATGATGTATTTGCTCCAGGGTGCCAAAATGCTCTGCAGTGAAAACAGCCAGCGGCCAGCGGAGTGGCTGCCCTGCCTCCAGTGCTGCTGGGCTGGGGCAGGGAGCAGCCCATGGAGAGGGGCCAGCGCTGCCCCATCCACACAGGGTGGCCTCACTCAGACCCAGAGTGGGGCTTCAGTGAGATGGAGGAAATCCAGGGCCTGCCAGGTCCCAACCCAACCCATGGGACTTGATACCTGTGGGACCTCCTGCTTTGCCTTGACTCAAGTCCCTGCAACACCCAACTCAGCACCCTTGGGGTGTGTCCCACCGGTGAGCCGGGGAGCTCCATGATGTTCAGCTCTCTGGGGACCAGCATGCAGCCAGATGCACCTTAGGACTTTATAGCCCACCTGCCCCACCACCCTGCACCCTTTGCCAGGTGCTGGAGGGGCTGGAGATGCTGTCCTTGGTTTGGGGTCTTAGCAGGTACTAAGGTATCCCACTCAATCTGGGGACTCTCCTGCAGGCTGAGGGCAGGGGATGTATGCTGGTGCCAGCAGCAATGCCCACAGGTCTGGCAGGGTTTGGGCAGGGCTGGCTATGCCGGGCAGAGCCCCAGACCCACGGTGCAGCCCTGCCAGGGTGCTTTACATAAGGAGCATGTTTTCAGAACAGCTGGTTTTCCCCTGGCAGCCCCCCTTGCACATTCCCCTCCCTGCATCCCGCTGTGAGGCCGCCCTGCCCTGCACACCCCGCGCCTGCTCGGCCCCGTGGATTTATTAAAACAAAACAAAAGCTGAGCCAGGCAGGACTGGGGCTGGCTCTGCTCGGGACACTGCATGCCCAGGACAGCACTCCCGTCCAAGCTGGCTTCCAGCAGGACAAGGTGACCCAGAGCCTGGCTGGGGCCCTGTATGCTGGGCTGGGGCTCAGTCTCCCCCAGAGCTCACCTTCAGGGTGCTGGGGGAACACTCTCCATCAGGCACCGAGGCAAGGAACACCCAGGGTGTCACTGTCACCTGGCGCTGCAGCAGGAACACAAAGTCCCCCCTGCTGCCAGATACCTCCAGTTCCTTGCCCAGGTGCCAGGAGGGGGTGACCGATGGATGCCCAGGGGGTGCCCGGGTCTCCTGAGGGTGACAAAGCTGGGAGCCAGCCCAGGCACCTGTGTGGCAAAGCCGGTGCAAGCTCAGGAGTATGGGAGCACTTGGGGGCATAGGGGACACCAACAGTGGCAAGGGGCAGAAAGAACAAGGCTGGGGGCAGGACGGAGTATCTGGACTGTGGGTTCCTGCGGCAGCTGGACACAGACCCTTGGGCATAACCTGGGTGTTTGCACTCAGAAATGGTTTAGCCCCAAGGATGGATGATCCGAGCTGGGATGAAGGGTGTGGGGAATCCTTATGGACCAGCCCAGCTCCCCGGGTCTCTCCCCTTGCTCCCTTTCCCCCCTGCCCAGTGCAGCCACTTCGGGGTGCAGGTAAAATGGGCTGGATCCAGCACAGCCCAGCTCTGTCAGGTTCGGGGGGCGGCCAGGCTGGACACGGGTGGTGGGAACAGGGACTGGCTTCTGGCACAACACGTGTCTTCCCTTACATAATTCCCTGATAAACAACACGTGCCAGCAGTTCCCGCTAGGATTGCAAAATGCTTTTTTGTACTGTGGACAGACGGCTGCTCCCGGCCCGGGGGCTGCCCTGTCCCCACCTGGAGCCAGCGCCAATCCTGAAATGTGGCAGGACCGCCTCGGCTGGGAGGAGGGGTCAGATGAGGGGCTGCAGCATTAACCCAGGGGGTCTACCCAGCCCTCCAGCCCCTCCAGTGCCCTGCCTGTCTGTCTGCGAGGTGCTGGCTGTGTGGGCAGGAGTCCAGTGCAGGCAGCAGCCCCTCGAGAAACAAACTCTGCAGGGCTGGGGCAGGGGAACAGGCTGTTTCCTGGCCCTGGAGGTCCTGGGGACAGGAAGCAGGATTGTGGGACTAAGATTTCATCCCCTGGGGTCCCTGAGTGATCTCCCAGCTTGTTGGGAGAAAAGGCAGATGCTGTGCTCTCCCCAGTGCCCCTAAGTCCATGCCCCCTGTGGCCCAGGGACAGCGCCGTTCCCCTCAGTGCTGGGACCTCCCTTGCCCCTGCCAGCTTGATGACAGGTACCACGTCACAGGAACCACCACACAATTCACACCACAGGAACCACTGACACAATTCCGTCCCACTCTCCCATGGCTGGTGAAGGCTCACAGAAAAGATGGCAGGGGTCTTCATGGAAGGGGGCTGCACAGCCCCCCAACACCCCCTCAGCACGTGTCCAAGGCATTGTCAGCCCATGGTGGAGGCAGTGCTGGCCTGGCTGGGGCAGACCAAGAGCTGACTGGCCTGTACACAGGCTCTTCTCTGAGGTGTTTATTGGGGTGTTGCTGGCTGCTGCAGGAGAGTGGGGTACAGAGCAGAGGGGGGACAAAAGCTAGGGGGCACAGGACAAGGACAAGTGCAGCTGCCAGCAGAGCTGGAGGGGCTAAGGAACCCCAAGGCTGGCTCCAGAACTGTGGAGCAGCAGGGGGAGCAGACTCAAGTGCGGCTCAGATCTGCGTGGACATGGGCAGCTGGCTGAGGTGAGGGCGGAGCCCTGAGACCCCATGGCAACTCCATCCGCACCTACAGCTTCGTTTCTGGAAAAGAAGTGCTGAGGGGCTGTGGGGGTGTCCATGCCCAGTCTGACCCATCTGGGGGGTGAGTGGGGCTTGCTTTGCCAGGATGTACCTGATGCCCATTCTGAGTGACACTGTGCACACAAGAGCACAGACTCTTCTGGGGAATGGTCTGGCATGGCCTCTCCCGTCCCAGACCAGCCCTCCCACACTCCTGAGGCAGGACTACACAGTCATGGTGCAGTGTGGATCTGGCCCACTGTGCCCAGCCCACTGCCAGGAGGGACACCCAACTGACGCCCAGTGTGGGACCAAGCCTGGCACATAGGAGAGGGCACCCAGCACATCACCCAGCATCCCCAACTCACCATCAAGGATGTGAAACTCATCTGCAGAGTCACAAAACCCTGCAAGAGACAGAGCCCGGGGGGATCACCTTGTCTGGAGCTTGGCACCCTCCAGTCCCTGCACCCCCAGGACATTGCAGGGCACAGCCCCATTCTTGCATCTTTGTCCCTGGGGTGGCCAGAGCATCAGGACAGAACCCACACAGGTCTCCCTGAGGACTGTGTGCCACCCACCATAGGTGGGGAAGTAGTAGGTCACATCCTCACTCAGACCCACAGCCCTGATGTGCTGCTCGAACTTGTCCATGATGGCATCACTGACCAGGCTGGTCCGTCCTGTACAAGGGGAGACACCATCAGAGGCCTCAGGCCCTACCTGGCCCGGGCCTGAAGCCCCCCATGTCCCCACACAAGGCTCAGGCCCCACGGGGTTTTCAGCTCAGAGAAATGGGTTCCCAGTTCCCTCCTTACCTGCTCCCCCACAGCATCTGGGGACAATTCTCCAGCTGGGAGTGACCCCCATTCCCAGGCTGGATCCTCCAAGGCTTTGGCTGGCCTCTCCTGAGTCCAGCATGGGTTTCCCACCCCTGTCCTCCACCTGCCATGAGGCCCCGAGTCAAAGCCTACCATAGAGCTTAACAGAGATGCTGCGGCCCTTCTGGTAATAAAGGATAATGAAGTTGCTAGGGTCAGCCTCACCCACCACCACATCCACCTTGCTGCTTTTCCTATGGCCTGGGAAGGACAAGAGGATAGCCCAGTTAGTCCTGGTCAATCTTGGTTAGCCCCAGCATCATCCAGGGGCTTCATTTCACCACAAACCAGGTGTACAAGGGGTGAAAATCAGGCCAGAGTGGGGCAGCCCCCACAGACAACAGCCCATCATGTCACCCGTGATGGCATCCGGCACTTAGGGACCCAAGACATAGAATACTGGGAGTGCACTGGGAAGAGGGACATTGGTACCAAAACCCTGCTGAGAGCAGGACTGGGGGGCTCCAGCAACCTCCTGTCACCCCAGACCAGTCTCCCTCACCCTTCAGCAGGAAGTGTCCAGGGGCCTGGGCAGGAAGGTAGTGCTGCCTGATTTCCCAGCACATCTTGTCCCTGCATGGGGAGACGAGGAGGAAATGTCAGTACAGGCTGTGGAGGATATTCCTGGGTCCCTGCCCGCCCAGAGACACACACTGTCTGTTTCCTTGGAACTTTGTTTTCCCCCCAGGGAAAGATATCCCAGAACACTGGGGAGACATTGTAAGAGATGCTGGGCCCAAAATCTGTTGAGCCCAAGGTGTCCTTGCCAGCCCCCTGCAGCACTGAGCCTGGTCAGGACCTCGTGGCCCGCCAGGCTGGGGAAAGTGCTCACAGATGTGCTGAAGGTCGTCATCCTGAGACATGCTGCCTCTGGGATAGTCCCAAGAGCCAGTCCTGGGCTGCACAGCCATGGAACCACCACGTGCCTCAGTTTTGCCAGCCTGGCTGTCCTCACACGGACCAGCCTGGGCACACCCAGCCCAGCCTTGAGCTAGTGGCTGTATGGGTGGCAGGGTGCCAATCATGGCCAGGGTTTCTACTACAAAACTCTCTGGAGGGTATCCCACAACGCTTGGCTCTGGGGCAGCTCTGTCCTGTTTGGAGTCTGTGGCCAGGGCACTGGCACTGCTCTGACCTGCTTTCGGAGTCCCCATCCCAGGGCATCAGTCCTGTTCTGACCTGCCTGCAGCACCCCTGTCCCTGCCCGCAGACCCTGTCCCTGGCATTACTCACAGCTTCCTGAAGGTGCTGATGGCCAGGCTCTGCCCATCCAGGATGGTTATTGTCACTGTCGTGGCCTCCAGCTGGTGGCTGTGCTCAAGCAGGTAGCTGCATTGGGAGGCCATGCTGACCAGGAACCACTTCCCTGAGAGCTGCATGGCACAGGGGTGGCACCATCTACAGGGCCACCAGCCTGGGATGTCACCACTCAACCATCCTGAGCACCCTCCTTCCTCTCACTTGGCACCTCTGCCCACAGCCTGTCACTTGGGGTGCCCACAGGGCACAACTGCCCTTCAGGTGCCAGTAGGGGGGATTGCAGGGCAGGAGCCTGGGGCTGGGCAGGGCAGCTCCTGACAGGCTGGGGGTGTGTAGGGGATGTCCAAGGCACCTGCCCATGGCTCACACTGCCCACAGCACTGCGGGCACCCCAATGCCACACTGGGTGTGTGCTGGGCACCGCTTTTTGCTGCAGCCCCAGCTCTGCCCCACCAGCAGAGCCCCAAAGTGAGGGCGGCTGCACAAACCCCGCAGCAGCTTCAGATGGTCGAGGACCCCTGTAAGGCTCTGGCCCCTGCACCTGCTCTGTGGGCAGCTCTGCGGGCAGTGCTGGGGCTGAGCTAGGCTCTGGAAGCCCTGGCTGTGTGGAGGGCACCGAGGGGCTTGGGGATGGGCTGGGAGGCTGAGTGGGGAGGACAGTGGGGGTCTGCAAGGGTGGGCCTGGGGGGGAGAGGGCACAGGGGGTATGGGGGAGGATGGGCTGCAGAGGTGGATCTGGGGGGGACTCCAGGGGTAGCACGAAACAGGAGCCACCGCGGCTCCCTGCAGCCCACCCAAGCGCAGCTTCAGCGGATGCCCACAGACCCCTCTGCCCAACCCCTCACCTGGTGGAGGCTGAGCCCCTCCTGAGCCACCACCTTCTCCAGTGCACTCTGGGGAGGGGGCGGCCGCCGTCTCTGCGCCGCCTTCTGCCCCCGCGCCGTCAGGAGCAGCCCGAGGAGCAGGAGGGTGCGCAGGGCCGCCATGTGCCGGTGTGCGAGACGGGCGCGACCGGGAGCCATGAGACCTGGTGGCGGCTGGACAGGGTCATCGCCGGGGTCATCGCCGGGCCGGGCCCGGCTGGAGCCAAGTGAGCGGCCCCGGACAGGGCCGAAGGTTGAGGAGGGGCCGGGGGGGGGGGGGG